AATCATCAGCCAACAGCCAGAATTAATGTTGGATGAATAAGTTACATACTATGTGTCACAAAAGTAAACTCTAAGCAGTCTTCTGTGGTCACGTATTCATTTAATCTCTCAGGGATTTCCCCGGGGTCTGTTGTAATAACAGATATAGCTGTAGACTCCTTCTTCAAGCCTTGGTTTGAGCAGATAATCTTGGACAATGTTGTGACCAGAAGCACTGAACTTGACAAGGAACTGGCTGAGGAACTACTCAACTGCAGCAAAGAAATTCCCAACTTCCCAACCCTCATCGGACACACAATGTGTACCTATGATTTTTATGAAGGTGAGAGTCATTTGTACATGTGAAGGCAACAGAAAGATGCCAGCAACTCCTTGCTATTCAAACCCATAATTTACATTAAAACTGCACTCAAGCAAATTAATTGTGTGGATTTAAAAAGGAAGGGAAATAGCCTTTTAACTTACTAATGCAGAGTAATGTAAGGGCTTAATAAACAGAAGAGACACATGCAGAATGAGCTTATATTGAGAATGGGTTTTATCCTCCAGAGCACACTGAATGCTAAAATGCAATTAGTGATGTTGACAAAACCTTATCACTATTCATAACTTTAACTTATATTGGTGACTTTAGGAAAGAGGAAATGTGCTGGTTCTACATTTCTGTCATTCTTCTGAACCCCAGAAAGAAAAGGGACCAAGAAGTGGGAAGAAATATTTAAGGGAACAAATCCTATGGGAATGCAGTGGTCTCAGAGAGGGGCTTTTATCTCACAGCTATGAGTAAAGTATCTCCACATCTAGCTTAGAGAAATTGAAGGTCTTTGCCAAATAGCAGTTTTTGCTCTAAGGAGTGAGGAACAAGGCAAAAGAAAAACAAACAAACACAAACAAAAAAATCTCCAAGGACTGGCTTTGCTCATTAGAGAAGAAGGAATCTGACGGGCTTGGTGCCCACTTGGTGGGCAGGCAGGAAGTCTTGCATGGTTGTTATGCTCATATAAAAATCAAAGTTATCTCAGATTTCATTATCAACTTCTTTTCCTCTGGATCAAAGTTTAGGTAGGAGCTTAAAAATCTAAAAACCATTCATGGTTGTCTACATTAGTTCAGGTTAGTAAAGCTGTCAGAGGCATTTATGAAACAGGAGGGTTTTAGATGGACAGGTCGAGGCTGTCTATACTGGGGTACTGGCTCTTAGTTTTTTTATCTACAGGGTCACCCACCCATGTGCTTAAGACAAGCTTATAAATAAGCCTGCTGGAGTCACTGTTTTCCTTGGCCTGTGAAATACTGTTTCAAATGTGAATTATTTTGTCAACATTTGTAATTTCTAGAGCTTTCATATGAAAATCCAGATTTTTGGCTTTTTGAAATAACATAAGGTAACATTTTAAAAATGCCGGGCATGGTGGTGCACGCCTTTAATCCCAGTACTTGGGAGGCAGAGGTAGGCGGATCTCTGCGAGTTCAAGGCCAGCCTGGTTTACATAGTGAGTTCCAGGACAGCTGGGGCTAAAGGGAGACCCTGTCTCAAAAAGACCAAAAAAAAAAAAAAAAATACAAAACAGTATATGTGTGACAGCACTGGCAAGCCCTGGCCTTCATCCAGTGTCACCTGTAATGGAGGTGAGGGGAGGTGACTCCCTCTAGCCCGAGTAGACTCTCTCATTGACATTACCTACTTGGCTTCTGGACACCAGGTTCAGCTTAACTAACACTGTTAGAGGTACTAGCAGCCAGCACTAAAGAGAAGAGGAGGAACAGGGAGAAGCTGACTGCTAGGATGGAAGGAACATAAAAAAGACAGCGCACAGGAAAAAGGTGAGGAAAGGGACCAGAAAGGACTGTGCAAATAATGGATGACAATGGAGTGCTATGACTGGCTTCAATTTGCACACTGCTGGGGCAGGAGACATTGAGGTGCATGGCTGGTGGAGGAGTAATAGCAACAAGCTTTTCTCTACCTCCTTCTGTCTTCACTAGTTGACCCAGGTGAAATTAAGTGAGCAGGAATACTGGGAGCAATCTGGGAAGGAAAGTGTGAGCACAGGGGTGGCTTGCAGCCTGAGAAGCGTGGAAGGGAGCAAGGACACACTGATTGCCTGTATCTGATTGCCACTGTTACAGTGGCCATACGAAAGCTGCCTGTCCCAAACATGGACCTCAAGAGCATCCTTGAAATGTGAAACCTCTCCTCCCTACCCCCATGCCTCTAACTGGGCCATCCCCAAGTCACTGGGGCAACCTGAGGTTTTCCTCAAAGAGCAACTCTCTCCATGATCCCCTCACCCCATTCCCAATGTCGCTGGCTGCCCCTCAGTGGCTACTGACCCCGGAACGCCACCCTACGTATGAGATTTGAGCTAGGTGCAGCCATGCTTCCTGCTCCTTTTAGGGGAGATTCAGCAGCCTGGTTAATCCACCAGATGGGGCACACTCAGGAGTTAAGGGACAGCTTTAGAGTGCTGCATCATTTGCAGTCTTCTGATGAGGTCACTGCCACTGCAGTGGAACAGCAGTCACTAAATTCTCTCCATCCCCTTCCAGGCCAAGGACGCCTAGATGGAGCACTGTGCTCCTTTTCTTAAGAAAAAAAGCTCGATTACTTGAAAAGAGCATATAAAGCCGGTGTTAGGAATATTGAAATGGAATCCACGGTGTTCGCAGCCATGTGTGGACTCTGTGGCCTCAAAGGTAAGCTTGTCTTTCAGGAATGTATCTGAGATTCATTCTTCAGGAGAAAGAAAAGGACCAAGCTAAATTTTACTTTGTGTTGAATGCATGCCTTCTAATTGGTCATAATATGCCTTATACATATGAGCATTATCTCATAATATCTTGTAAGCAGGTAAAACATTGTTCCTATCATGAATATGAGGAAACAAGGCTCAAGGGTCAAAAACAAAATGCCCAAGGTCACCTGATGATTTGGTGATGTAGCTAGGATTCAAAAGCAAGTTAATTTTTCTCTATCCTGGTATCCTGGTGATGACTGCTATTTTCTAGCACAATTGAATTGATTGAGACAGGATGCAAATGAGATATTCCTAAAATAGTCTCTCAGTCATAATTCTAATTAGCATGGTCGGGAAAAGGTAGGAAGAGAAGGTGTCATTTGGGAAAGGCCACATGGATACCTGGGGAAGCATGTTGGGAAGGTGTCAAAGTAAGGCTAAATATATCAGGAGCAGGCAGGTGTGCTAGAGGAACAGGTGGAGACTAGAATGAATCTGGGGCTGGTGAGAGGTGTGAAGAATGGGGGAGGGGCAGATTGTGTGCATCACTGTGAAAATTGTGACTTTCTGGAAACTGAAAGCCAATAGAGAGCTCTGAATCCAGGGCAGCGGTCTAGCAAGTCATGAAGGGCCGGGGTGACAGCAGAGGGGTAATGAGGGGTAGCAGGCAGTTTCTGGAAGCATTCTGAAGACACATCCAGCAAGATTTGAGGACAGTTTGATGTTAGGAGAAAGGCAGAAGTTAAGAATGAGGCCTACATTTAGGACAAGGTTATAATATGTGCATATAAAATGTGCACGGGGAAGCCGGAGGTCAGAAATTATCCTCGGGGTTGCTCTTCTACCTCAGTCAAACCCAAAGCTCAAGGATATGACCAGTCTCACTAGCCAGCTTGCTCTAGGAATCTCCTGTATCCTCTTTCTGGTTTCTGAGACTGGAATTACAGACCAACTTCCACGCCCAGTTAGCGTTTAAGTGGCTTCTGGGGAATCCAAACTCTGGTCCTCAGTGCTTACAGTAAGCCCACTGAGCAAGCTATTTAGAAGGCCACTTTCAGAGAAACCATAGCCTCTGTTTTTCCCTGGACAAGTTAGTAAGAGTAGAAAAGCTTGACGTTGCCTGAGCAGTGCAGAAGACTCCCACTCAGGAAAGACCTGCTCAAGTTGCTTTATTATAAAAACAAGTGACCACTTGACTCTGCTCCCCCTAATATGTAAATGAACAGATTTTGGTAACCAATGTAAACATAAAATGCTGAGTCACTATCATGTTGCCCAGGTATAAATATGGTGGTGACCATCAGCTCTTTTCAGAAAAACCATCTACTGGCCTCCGGGGAGAGCTGTAGGCTGTGAACCCTGAGTATGATTCCTTCTCCCCTGAGAAGCTTGCAGAAACATGAGGGAAGTTGCTCTGTTGAGTGCCTTTCTGTCATTGCAGCAGATCTGCAGAGCTCTTGATCTTGCTCTGACCGTCACCTGCAGGTGTCCCTCCTTCCTCCATCTTTCGCCAACATTTCATTTCCTCTGCTGCTGCTGAAGCTGCTAGCTTCTGATTTCAGCCTGCATGCACGTCGCTCTCTTCCTAGCCATGGCTTCAGCCTTCTTTTCATCCTTCAGACCCCTTCTGGCTGCCAGTGCACACAATGAAGGCTCTTCCTGCAGCTCTGTAACTCCATAGTTTTTGGGAGTGTTTCTGTCCAAATTTCTGGCTGCCAGTGCACACAACGAAGGCTCTACCTGCAGCTCTGTAACTCCATAGTTTTTGGGAGTATTTCTGTCCAAATTTCTTCACAGTGACAGTCTTTATCTCCCCCCAACATCACTATTTTAAAAGGTAGGTTTCCGGTATGCTGCTTCTGAAAGATAGGCCAGACAAATGCCCCATGTATAAGGTGCTCTCATGTTCCCATCTTTCATTGCCAGTTCGGAACATTCTTTCCCTCACTTGACTCCGGTGGGGAAGTGGATTCTGGCACCTGGCGCCTTTTATTTTAGCCCATTTACTAACCCATTCTGCATGAGCCAGGAAAGCTTTGAGGAAGCATTTGAGAGTACATTCACACGATACTTCTCAACAGAAAGTCAGGGTGGGCCTGATACAAGCATGGGAAGGAGAGCTCACCTGACTCGAAGAGCCCAGGGCCTCCCAGACCTGGTCCCACATGTACCTGATTCCCAACCACTGTTAGTACTGGCCCATTCCAGTTTGCCGCTCCAGGCGGCCTCTGATGGCCCTTTCTGTTTTTTTATACTACCAGATGGCTGGATGACCAATATGAATTCATACCAATGTGCTGACTCAAAGAGTTTGCCCCCTCAGATATCATTTTGCATTATTAGGCTCTTTTAGGAACCACAGATGTAGCTCTGAGGACTCAGAATTTCAGACTCACGCCCTTGTGTGACACTTGTGTGATGCCCCAAACCCAATCACACTTATTTTACTTCTTAGCATTATATTTACCATTACTGGCTATATTTCTGTTTTATTTATATATTAACTTATATATTGCTTTATATATATTAGTGCATATAGGTATGCATTTATTATTTAATAATAATGAAGATTATGAGAACAGGGACTTTGTCATTGTTCCATCCTTAGCACTTAGAATAATGCCTGCCATGTAGGTATTCAATGCATATGAGTGAATGAATGAAAAGAATTACTGCTAGACTCTATTTGACTTTGGAAAATGGCCACAGAAAACCGGACCTTCCTTCACTGTGGTTGCTGGCTGTGGCTGCTCTCCTCCGGTTATGGCCGCTCTCCTGCTCTCTTAGTTCCTCCGATCAGTGGTCCCATCTGGACTCCAGGGCTGGTGAGGAGTCTTCACCAGCGTCGCCGCATTCAGACTCAGGAGACCAGGTTCAGTGACACAGATCTGCTTTATTGCAGGAAAGCACAAGCTTATATAGGAGTAGTGGTCCAATCACAGCACAGCAAGTAGGATACCTCATTAGCATAATAGGTTTAGCGTCCTATCACAGAATAGCAGGTAGGATGCCTCATTAGCATACTGGGTTTCAGATTACAGAGCCTGAATTCCTGGAAACCACGTGACCCTGACTGTTGCAATATTGAAGTATTGCAATTTGGATTCCAAGGGTGGTGATTAGGAAGTGGCGAGCTCTAGGCATCAGTCTTATGATCTGCCAATGGGAGCAAATGTCACAAGGCATTCCTTGTGGCTCCAGCAGTTAGGCCGTTGCCTCGGGCCTGCTGTATGGCTGTATGTCACCCTAGGCTCAAGCCTGTCTCCCACACTTCACAGTCACATTAGTGGTTTTGAATTGTTTGAAAATCTGGAGCCAAGATTTCCCTTTGCTGCTAGGTTTATGCAAACTGGCAGTCTCTGGGTCTCTTGATATTTAATAGGTGGACAAGCTGCCTGAAATAGTCCATGGCACCCACCATCACTGCTACTCTTCTGCCCTATTATCCTGGACAAGAATACTAGGAGGCAGTGCCACGTTAACAAAGATTCAGGTAAAGCAACTGTGGGTTTCACCTAGTAATTCTGCATCAGAAGGCCGAGCCTTCAGAGTAATGCAAAACTGCCTAACAGAAAACAGTGTAACGCTGAATAAATGCATTTGTGATTTATCTCTCCCTCTCTTAAAGAAAAATTGACTTAAATTAAGGCCCTGGCCTCCTCCTGACTAAAGATGATAATCCTCTTGTGCTGTGAACTTGTGATAAATATTTTCAGCTTGTATCCAGTTTTTAAAGACAGTGTTGCCTTTTGACACATTTGCATAGCAATATATAAAACCCAATATTTGCCTAAGATTAGGCTCTGCTCAAGTCCTCTTCAATGTCTTTAGTTGTTTGCAACTCACAGTGGCTTTTCTTTAGAGTAAAAGAAGAATTCCATGTTATATCTTTTGACAGCTACTTGTAACTTAGGGAGGTATTCAGTCTTTATAATATTTCTTTGAAACTATTCAATAAAAGGAAACAGGAGCTTGGCTTTAATTCTTTTTCTATTTTTTATTTTTTATTCTTCTGCTGTTGCTCCCAGCAATGAAGGATATTGGTGTCTGGAACCTGCATGGTGACCACTGATAAACCCCAAAAGATATTACAAAACATTAATAATTATTTTAGGTTTGTAGTTAGAGTGTTTCTTAATCCCCCATAGAAGTAAATCAGGATTTTGATAAACGAGTCCATCAGGGTATGAGCCAGCTAGCTGCAACTCCCTGCACACTCACAAGAGAGAAAGAAATGGTGGCTTGGAGGTTAAGGAACTTTCCTACCATCTCACATCTAAGAATAAGCCAGCTGGAATTTGACCTCAGCTCTGTGTGACTCAGGCCCTTTGCCCAAGGCTGTGCTGCTTCCTACCAGCCAGCAGCCGCCTGGAGAAAACACAAGGCTCAGAATCTCTGGACAGAAGAAACAAAAGGCACACCATTCAAATTCAGAGAATAGTTTTCCATGTAAATATTATGAGCAGATAATTGCACTTCAGCCCGCAAGCCCTAATGATGAGCGGATCTCAAGAGTTAGTGCTGCATGCAAATGAAAAGTTAGGCAAATATGGAGTCGCATGCATAGCCATTATTTTGCCAGCAAGATTTAGTTCTTAGATCTGAAAACTCAGGTATAAATAGCAAGTAGTTCACTTATCACTTTGTGTGTCTGTTTGGGGGAGTGAATTGTTGCCATGTAGCCCAGGATGGTCTTGAACTTGAGATCCTCTGCCTCAGCCTCCTGAATGCTTCATAAAGAAACACAGCTAGCCAAGAACAGGGAAAGACTAGACCTGATATCACTGCCTCCTGTTCACTGCTCCCTTTACAAGGTATCAAAAGGTAGCAGTTACTAGTGAAAGATGACTTGTACTCACCTTTACAGTAGAAAATAGCCAGTGACAACGTTCAATTTAAGGGAATGTTTTAAATAATATTTAGAATAAGGGAAAAAGAATAAGAGGCAGTTATCTATGGGAGTGGATGTGTGGTCTCACATCAAAGAGGCTACCCAGAAATAACAATGATAACTGTAAATACTTAGATTTAGCTCTAGTTTCATAGGTGAAAAAGAAAGTATGTTATTCAACCCTCATCATATAATTAAGAAAGCATTTGAGGTGATTTTTTTTTTCAAAACATTACCCAAATGTTAAATTTTATCAAAATATTAAGTGAAATCATCAACTATGTTGTAACAGGAAACATCTTTAATAACACTTTTGTAAAGGACAGCTTTTCATAGGCTGTAATGTAAAATCCTACTTCCAGATAATTCCGAATTTCTTTGGTGACCTAAAGAATTAGGGTCCAGGCATGTACATTTCTGGTAACTTGATTTGATACAGTTTTTAAAGCAGTTGTCAAATAGTAAAGCGCAAATAGTTCATCAGGGCAGACCTGCTTTCTGTTAATATTTACTGTCTTCTCCCTTCCTGCAGCCTCACTCTGATTCTGTGAGTCTGGGATGTAGCCTATGAATTTGGATTATTTGAAGTCTCTGGTTTAGATAGAGGTGGCCAGTAGACCAGGTTCTGAGAAACACAAACCTACAAGAATAAGTTATTTGTATGTCCCTGGCCCTGCCCAGCCCCTTTGAATGTGAGCTTTCTCTACCTGTCTTGTGATAAGCAACAAACGGCCAGCCGGAGATCAAAGTCTAAGGGGAGATGCAGGAAGTGCAAAGGCTGTGGGCTGATGATGGCATGAACCTTGTGCCTTTCCAGAAGGCATACTAGAAGTAAAGAGTGTTTGCTTTCTAAATACTCATACCCTTGAGGAGCAATGGAAGCTAAAGAGAAAGAGAGCAAGTATGTGTGTGTGTGTGTGTGTGTGTGTGTGTGTGTGTGTGTGTGAAGGCCACGAAGAGGTAGAAGAGGATAGAAAAGCCAGCCTGAGAGCCACAATGCCAACCTTGGCTATCTTCCCTTTTTCCTACAGGCCAGTGCATTTGGCCTTTGCTGTGTACATGCGTATTGGTCCTCAGCCTGCTCTCTTTACCCACCATTTATAGAAAACCTTCCTGGAGGTTTGATCTGAATCAGAGAGAAGACATTAAAGCTGTAGAGCACAGGGCTGCATGGAATCTAAAGGATACAACGCACAAGCTTCTGAGGCCCTGGGTTCCCTGAAATTATACACAAATATTTTATGTGGACAGCAATATGTATACTTGAGTGTGAAAAGATGTTCTAGTAACAACCTTCATCAGATTCTTTAAAAGGCCATAAATGACCCAAAGGGCTGAGAATTGCTGGGCATTCGTGGTAGGGCTCAGAACACAGTGAGCCCTACTTTGGACCTGTGTGCTCTCATTCCACACCAGGTCAGGCAGCTGACAACCTCTTTTGTGACGGCCAGATCACTAAGTGTCCCTCTGACCTCAGGAGTTACCCTCTACACTTAATCTGAGGATTATGGTAGCAAAACTGCAGGTTTAAATTTTGACAAATTGTTTTGGGTAATCAGTTCCTTTTAATTGCTCATAGAAATAGTTTTAGGTGACAAGATCATTGTAGGGGCTTTGACGGTGGAGAAAGCACCGCTGGCCTGGCTGTGGCCTACTCTGTCTTTCACACTATCCTTGAAATCCAGAGACGACATTTAGTTCAGTTGGTACCTGCTCTGTGGAGAGCAAAGAACAGGGTTTCCTTTTATCCTTCTGCCAAGGGAGGATTAGAGAAGGACTCTCAGTTTTTCTCTGCTAGTGCCAGCCACAGCAGGCTTCACAGGCTTGCTGGTCATTAACTTGAAAAGTCGTGGGAAGTTGCTAGTTCTCCCATTTTCTTTTTTACCTGTTCAGCCAAGTTGCTTTTTACAACCAAGTGAGTTTTGAGTAAATAGGGTTGTAGGTGATGAAATATTTGTCTCTGTGCCAATTCAATCTTTCCATTGCTTTTTACTTGATTGTAGCAGTCAGTTACGTGAGCAGGCCAGGACAGGTCCTAAGAGTTTCCTGTGTACCAGCTCAGAAGAATGGATGGAAGGGAAGGGAATGCCACAGTTTAAGAAGCTGGGACTTAGTTGGCTACTTACTTTATCAGTTGTATCATAAAAGGTCATTTGTTTGACCATTTTAAGCCTTCATTTTATCATCTGTGAAAGGGAACAAAAATACTGACCACACTCATGGCATAACTGCATGAATTATGAATATCATCAATGCCTGTCAAATAGCAAGCACTAAACCAAAAAAAAAAAAAGACACACGAATTGGGAAAATTATTTTAAGTCAAATATTTAATAGGGAGTTAATGTCCAAAATATATGCAGAATCCATGCAACTTAATAGCAAGAAAGCAAGTAGCCTGATGAGCTATCATTACATATCTGTTGGAATTACTATGAAAAGGCACACAGCAAACACTGGGGAGGAGATAAAAAATGGAACTCTGGTATACTATTGATGAAGATATAAATGAACACAGTCATTTTGAAGAACTGTGGAAAGGTCTTTCACTAGACTGAAAATAGAACCACTATGTCTAGCAATCCTGCTTCTGAGTAAATAAGTAAAAGAACTGAAATCAGTATGTGGAAGAGTTACCTTCACTAGTTTATTCACAATGGCATCATTCACAAAAGCTAATTATCTAAAATCAACCAAAATCCATCCATGGATGACTGGATGAACAAAATGTGGTATGTATATAAAATGGAATACTCTTCAATCTTATAAAGAAGAAATTTGGTTATTTGTGACAACATGGATGAACACTGAAGACATTGCACTAAGTGAAATAAGTCAGGCATAGAAAGATAGATACTGCATAATCCCACTCACATGGAATCTAAAAAACTCAAACTTATGCACATAGAGATTATAATGGTAGTTATAAGAGGTTGGAGAGTAGAGGGCTTGTGGGCATGGGAAATGTGGCCATGTTGGTCAAAGGGCATAAGGTTTTAGTTAAAAGGAGGAATAAATTTTAAAGGTCTAGTGTACAACTTGATGACTGCTGTTGATAATAATGTATATTTCTAAGCTCTAAAAAAGTATATTTTAATTATTATCATGAAAAATAAATATGTGAGATGAAGAATATGTTAGACTAAGACTTTCTATAATGCATATATAGCAAACTATTGCATTGTACTCCATATATATGAATAAAATATATTTTAAAAGATAGTATGTACTATTATGATTTTAGCATACTTCTCCCTAAATTTGTATCTTCCCATGAAGTCTGAGGCAGTGGGTTAAGTAATACATACTACCCTAAGCCCAACTCTATCTTTATACCCTCAAAACCTGTTAATGTACACAGATCTAATTCCTGTTGCAGTGATGCACTTTGGAAAAGGATGCAGATGGAGATTATTACACTGCTATCAATTCTAAATTCTTGACACTGAGTCCAATATAAGTAACCACATTCCTTAGAATCAAAGATTTGTTGTAAAATTGAAAACAAATAATTGATATATTATCCAATTTTCTGTCTGGATTTTCCTAATAGGACAAATTAAAGATATGTCCTTATGTCAGTTTTTTTAAAGATGAGGAATTTGTTTTCTAAAAACTTTGTGTTCTTTCCCTGCAATTTTTTAATCTATCACAGCATTTACTACCCCACCCCCCTTCTTTGGAAATTAAGTGCCAATGTGCTTACTTTTCTTATGGAGCTGATTTTTTATGTTTATGCATTTGATTTCAGATCTTATCAAATTTCATGAGAATCAATATTCACCTTTATTGGTAATTCCTGGGCCAGAGTTCCATAGCCAGCTTTCCCCTGCTTATATCATTCTTCTACAGCAAGCAAATTCAAACACTGCACCCAAGAATATGATGTCACTTGGGTACTAAGGTCCAATTCTCCAGGCATAGCCTCAAGTAGGAAGGGCCTCCTCAAAGACCTGGCAATAGGATTGGAAGTTAGAAATTGTGTGCCTTGGTTGCAAACACTTTTCTTTGTTCCCATTTGAACACAGTGCTTTCCTGAGCCTTAATCTAGTGTGCTACAAAGGAAAGGGGAAGGAAGAATGTTTTAAATATTTTCAATTAACTAATTTAAATGAGTCTTTGAATGAATGAATGATATAGACAAGTAGAGGATCCAGCAGGCTATGTCTGAATTTCAGGGAAAATAACACAAATCCTGCAGCTGTGAATGTTCGTGCTTTGGGGTCTTCTCTGTAGCAGGGAGCAGTCCGTTTACTTTGCTAACCGTGTGATTTGTTTACTAGCTGCTGTTGTCTGTGTGACACTCCTTGACAGATTTGACTGCGACCAAATCAACTTGTCCCATGATGTTCTGGTGGAGTACCAGCAACGGCCACAGCTCCTAATCTCAAATTTCATCAAAAAACAGATTGGACTTTTTGACCGGATGTCATAATTCAGCACCTGACCCTTCCTGCAAGTTGGTAGATGAAGTCTGTTGTTTGTAACATGTTCATATAATTCTCAGCCTTGGGCTAAAACCATAATCAATTTCAAAAAATCTAAAAATCGAATTTGTTGTATTAAGATTTAATACCTGTATGAAATTAAGTTTAAATTCCATTTTAAAATCAGTTAACCAAAACAGTCTAATAATTAAAATTTTAAACTCATGGATTGTGACATTTGGAGTTTCATATGCAGCATTAATTAAGCTTATATCAAAGTAGACCAGCCATTTGTAGATAGTTAGCAGTTACTCTCTGAAACAGATCCAGAAATTTGTGTTAGGATGTTGTCAGGCACTTCTAGATGTTGGACAAGTAACAGAAATTGATCATGCACATTCAAAATATTTACAAAAATGTGCCAGTGTAATATAGATCTGTGTGGAAGTTATCCTCAGGGAAATATGGTCACAGTTATCTTCTGTCCCTGCACAATTTCAGTGAACACAGAATGGAATTAGAGGTTTACAAGTGTCTGCATTTGTGATTTTCACCAAACATAGCAGTTCTGAATTACACTTTTTTTTTTTCAAATGAAAGCCCTTGGTAAAGACTTTTTTCCTCTGAAATCATAAGTGACTAAATTGCCTTCTAGCGATCTTTTTTTTTTTTTTTTCTTATAAGGAAATGTGTCATGAGGAAGCTGTATTTTTTTTTTTTTTTATTTCAATAGCTACCAGATAAGCTGAAGAATTAGTAACAATCGAATTTCAACTAGAGCCCAAGCTACGGACTAATCCTTTTGTGTGACTTTGAGTCAGGTCCTACATGTAACCCCAGCCATTTGACGCTGAGTGACAGCATATAGTAGGGGCTCTCCATGAATGAATCCCACACTGGGGTTTCTTCTGAACTTAGTTCATTTAGGAGTTGTAAAGAATGAATGAGAGAAGGGTGAAGGATGCCATACAAACTTGTACAGTGTGTAATGTTATGTACATATATTTATAAGACTGTAAACAAATGAGATTTAATTCTAACCATGCTGTGGAGTATTTGGATCCTGAGCATTGCATAAGGCTGAATGGAGACAAGAGGCAGGATTCCCTGCTGAAGACAGCAGGCTCCATGCTAGTCTGGAATTGGCCTGATCCTGTGACAAGAATGGACTTCTCTTTAAAACAATAAATGATTCCCTAAAAGGTGCTTTGGTTTGTGAACTTCTTTTGGCAGTGAAGATGCTTAGAATGCAACTTTCCAGGTCTCCCAATAATTGACCATCAAATACAGAGATCTAAAAGTACAGGCCAGGGGTTAAAGGTAAGGTGGGGCAGCATCACACTTGCTAGTGAGATTTGACTTTACTTCCTCTTTCATTAAGTGGAAACTGATAGGTATGAATGTTGGAGAGAGTGGGCAGGTGGGTGGCATGGATGGAGGAGGCACTGAGGCACAGATGGAATTCTCAGCGGGATACAGATTTATTTCGCACAGGACACCTTTCCCTCGGGGAAGGGAGAGATGTCCACGAAGGGAAAGATGGGAAGGGAAGGGAAGGGAAGGGAAGGGAAGGGAAGGGGGAGATGGGTGGGGGGTTTAGGGTGTGGAAGGGGAGAATGTTTGGGGGAGAAATCAGGGAGGGGGAAGCAGGAAAAACCTGGCTCCGTTCAGTCTGCCAGGTGGGATTAGGGTCTGGAAGTGTTTACTTTTTCTCTCTTAAGATAAGAGGAAATCTGCTTATCTTATCTTTGGTGGTCAGAGGAAAGGCAGGCTGCTTCTCAGCAGAGTTTGTTCTTCTTGACCTCAAAGGTCAAGGTGCTTATCAGCTAAGTTCCCTTTTTCAGGCTCCAAAGTCTGTGGGTCCCTGTTGGGGAGCGGGGGAAGCTGCTGCTATTTGGAACCCTAACAGAAACTGTTTCAAAGTGGCTTGATAAGCCTTTGGTTTGAACTTTTACCTATCTGCTTTTGTAAAATCTTTACTTTTTATTTTCCTGGGAGAAGGGGAGATTCTGAAAAAGAGACGATTGAGAAGTTATAGCTAATCTTCCTCTTACTGCCTGACTGGGAGTGTGTGTATGTTTTCCTCACTACTGTTTTCTATGTCAGCAAATAGTGTCAAGGCAGGTACACCTATGAGACTATTTTGGTGAGTCTGTCTTCCTCATTCTCAGGCTCCATCAGTCACCAAATCCTGTGGCTTTTCTACATCATTCCTCAATCTGTTCCTCTCTCCAGCTCTTCCCACTGGTCCTAGTCTGGCCACCACTTTCAATCCTGCATATTCCTAAGGTGACCTCAACCCTGATAGCTATGCTTCCATTCTGGAATTTCATATGAAGCTCCTCCCAAAACCCCTAGGCAGATCTCTGCCCTTTGGTAGGATAAGGCTGAGAACTCAGCAGACTGCCTGAGAGTCCCAAGGTTGCCCCCCTCCTTACCCAGAGGGAACTTCCCAGGTTTTTCCCTGAGTTCCCACTAGTAGGGGTCCAAACCTTAGAAGGAAGCCTGAGTGTACCTGACTGGAACCTGACTTGGGCTTCTGTGGGAGCTCCTGAGTAGCTGATCTGAAGCCATCAGTTCCCTCCAAAATAAAACCTTAGAGAACCTGAAACCTAGACCAACCAGCTTTACATAACCAGTAAGAATCAAGGCACACCAATAATACAAACAGAAGCAAAATTCAACTTATTTTTCATATAAGAATCAGAAAGAAAAAAAGAAATTCCCATGCCAAAATCACAACGAAAGAATAATAAAATGGAAAGCTGAAACACTATGTCCCCACCAAACTCCACCAGTCCTGTAGAAGAGTTCTATGAGGAGAACCCCCTTGAGATAACCCAGAGCACAGAATTTAAAAGACCAATCATAAGCATGATCAAGGAATTCGATGAATTTAAAGAACACATGAACAAACAAATCAAAGACCTAAAATAAGGATAAACTTCTGAATGAATTCACAAAAAAGATAGAAACATTGAAGAAAACTCGGGCAGAAATGAAGAAGGAAGTGCAAAACTCAATAAGTCAACTTGAAACAACAGGGGAAAGCCTCACCACTAGAATGAGTGAAATGGAAAAACAGAATATCAACACTGGAGGATAAAGTTGAAGAATTGGACCACTCAAGCAAAGATTATAGCAAAGATTATAAAAAATTAAACACAGGAATGGAATATGCAATAGATGTGGGACACCATGAAAAGACCAAATCTATGTATCACAGGCATAGAGGAAGAAGAATTTCAGGTTAATGGTTTATACAGCAGTGTCACACAGTATAACAAGGATCTTAAACAGGATTGTAGAAGAGAATTTCCCAAAATTAAGGAAAGACATCTCCGTACAAATATAAGAAGCATACAGAACACCAAATAGACAGGACCAGAAAAGAAACTCCCCACTGCATATCATAATAAAAACACTAAATGTACAGAACAAAGAGAGACTATTGAAAGCAGCAAAAGAAAAACAATAAGTCACATATAAAGGAAAGCCCATCAGAATTACAGCTGACTTATCAATGCAAACTATGAAAGTCAGAAGAGCCTGGACCAAAGTATTTCCAGTTCCAAATGACAATAGATGCCAGCCCAAAATACTCTACCCAGCAAAATTGTCTATGATAGTTGAAGGGGAAGAAAAATCTTCCATTCTGGAATTTCAGCTGGGTGCTCTTGGGCTTCACTGACCTCACAGAAGGCTAGGAATGAAAAGTAAAACCCCCAGGGAGCCCATGATGCTGCCTACATCTATATGACTGGCAGCCTCTCTTCTCATCTGTGCTGGGACACACTCCTGCTTCTTTGGTTGTACTTAGTATAATTTACAAAGACACATTCCTACCCACCAGAAGAACAAGTAGGACAGATACCCATTCTCTTTCTCTAGCCTCCTCTATCTTTAGGCTGCATTTACCAACAGGGCCTTTTCCTGGTTTATACAGCAGTGTCACACAGTATAACAAGGACTCAATGTCACTATCCCTTGTCATTTTAGGACCTTTTGGTTGATGGGTCCCAACTTCAGCTCTTGATCCTAGTTTAAACCTGAATTCAATGTTCTCTTCCTCTGGAAAACCTTCCTCCTACTCCTCCAATGAATTCCATGAAGCCCCTACTGTCTCTTCAAAGCATTCACCATAGTTTGAGAGTTTGTGATTTGGCTTGTTATTTAATGAATACCTAACTCCTAAAAGCTTGTGAACCATTCTCCACTGGAGTAATTGTAGAAAGATCAACTCCTTGATGTTGGGAACAGTATCTTTTTTAAAAAATATTACTTTTTGTTTTTATTTTAGAAGAAACATATCATTACAGCTTTAATATGCTCAATAACAGTTTCTGGAGCAAAGATACAGCTCTTTCAAAAGTGGCTATAAAATTTTTAGGTTCGCTGTTGAATTAATACAGTTATACAATATTGAACTCGGTATAAGCCCTGTAAGACATAAAATTGAATGAGCTTTTAACCTTTAAAAAAGATCTCCATTTCATTTTAAAATATACTGTTTCTTACAGAAAGGCTCATTGTTTTTGTTACTAACACTGAGATGTTGGTGCATGTATCTCTAATCTGTTTGTATCATATCTTAATCATTTTATAGCCCCAGTCCCTGCCTGGTGCATAGTAAGACTGGATGAATCAGACATATATAGATGTACAATTGTATATAATTTAAACATATTAATATATCAGAATCTTATTAAATGTAAGTTAATACCATATTTAAATAACTAGATTGCTTTAAAAAGATAAAGATAAATATAATAATATATTCCTGTATTTAATCATTCTCATGATCTCTCTGGGGACTACAGCTTGAGAAACATGGGTCTCAAGTTATTTTGGTCACAGGCTGCTGGACATCACATGCAGAGTAGAACTGAAATCTGGAGTAAAAGATAAATGGACTTGATAGCTTGCCTCCAAGCTATAAGTACTGTCTTTTGTCATGGAAGGAAATTAAAATTGTCTGACACACACTGAGTTTCATAAAGCCATACTGCTCCTCTCCAGGATCCTGCATGCTTCTAGACATAAGTAGATGTTTTGAAGGTCTGGTCTACAATCTTTATCTCAGAATTAGAGCTAAGAAACTAATCTTCAACTGTTAAGGTCTCTTTTCATTCTATATATGAATGAATATATAATATATA